TTTGAAGTCCTTTTGTAAACCACCCGTGACCAGAACCTCCGAGCATCATGCGTGACCCAACAGAAAATGCGCTTTCTGGTTGATCAGTTTCCACAACAGGAAATCATCTGATCACCATGACGATGCGGACTGTTTCCAAACCTCGTCCTCAACAGGTTGCAGCGGAGCTGGATGCTAAGGATAAACAACCGAGAAAATACACGTTTTGGAAACACAGTCCATAAATGGGCGAAGCGATAAACTCGCAAGCCACGATCATTAACGCAGCTGTGCAGATGGTGGCCCAAGTAGCCACCATGTCTTCTTTGGTGTTCATGCACGCACCTTGAATCCCACGCAACTGTGCTGAATGCAAGATTACGTTTCGTCGTACTCGGTATTGTATAGACAGCAGTTATTCCGCACGCACATTCCGATGAATCTGGATGGTTGGGCAAAAGTATCAGCTAATTCAGCGAACTCCTCGTGGTGTCTCTCGGTGGAAACGAGGTACTGGTAACGTCTTCCTCAGTGTTCTTCATGATCCACAACTTAGAGTGCGATCTTCCGATGATAAGCCACCCACAGGAAAGGACTAATATCGCCTTTTAGAGACGAAACACGAAAGCGCTCCCGATCCATACGTCACGCTGTTTTTGCATGTCCTCGGCCTAGTCATACCGCTCAGGGGAGATGATGTGCTGATCCGCGTAACTACACCACCCAAACGCACGTACACTTTTGTCAAAATTAATTTTGCCCAAGAGCCTATATGTTCTTACTCTTCTGAAAAATGGCCTAGTCACCTCGTTCGCCAAACGCATACAGCACAGTCATTTTAACCTAACTCGTGTGTCCAAAGAGACTAGCAGAAATACAAGACACTTGAGGACACCAATAGAGGAGCAACCGCCTAACTGTTATACCGTGCTAGAAACGAGACGTGCGAAACCACACCCTATGACGCACCCAGTGACAGCTCTTAAAATAGTTTTTTTTTGTAAAATCACATGCGGAAAGGTGACGTTGCTGAGACAGTTGCAGTACTTCGTCTATGTGCGAAGTACATCTGCCAACTACCGTCGTATTGAGTTAGTAGGTCTTTCCTGTATCTGCACCATAAATCTCTGGTTATGTATACTCTCTGCGGGTTCTACAGTTGCCAGGACAGATACCCGGTAGGAAACGCAAGTGAACGTTATCCGAAGTATGTGGCCGGGATAACATTAGCACAGCGGCCAGTGGTAAAGCTATAAATATGCACCATCAAATGTTAGCGTACCTTGGAGCGAACTTTCAGAATTTTGTTGCACGACACATATTCCCAAATTCTAGCGATCAGTGAATTACTGCCGATCAAACCGTCAACTCCGTCTGAGTACACAGAAACTATTGAAGTAAACCACATAGTTACCATGGCGTTTATCAAGCCAGCCCCACAAACCCACCCAACAATGTTTTCTTCATTGCATTTGCGACCGACAACAATACGGTAATTAGTAACATATCGCAGCAAATGTCTTCTACAGGTGATAGGTTGAGACCCAGCGATTCAAACCACCATGTAGCTGTCCCCGTGATTCGCATCGTAGGGGTGACCACTTTCTAACTTCTTAGTCACAAGACTGGCACACCCGACGCATTCTTCTCCTTTCCAACCCATGCAGTTTACCTCATTAGTTCCCTCTTTTAGCTACATCGGCTAATCTCATTATTCATATCAACTGTCACATATGAGGTAACCATTTGAGCTACTGCGAACACGCCCGATTTTATATTGCTGTTTGGCAGGAAAAACTGTTGACCCGCGAGTGAAATGTCTCTATGCGAGATATATCGTGCTTTAAAACCGTCCCATTAATTATATTTTACCACCTTATCCATTACCACGATTGACCGGCGTGCAATCAGTGTGCCTCTACGGGTAACCTCCAACCCACATGCTCAAAGATACACATAAAGGGAATGCTTCCATTCTGAGGACTAGGACTATGCTAGAAAGTGAGAGAGAAAACACCATCCAGTGAAACTCCTTGTGTTCCTATCAGTTTCACGCCCAAATCAGTATATACCCACAGACATTGTTGGTCAACTACATATTCCGTCCGTTCTATGCTGAAAAGAGAAAAAATGGATAATCATCACATTGTTTTCGGAAGTCATCAGTGTGTATCTCAAGTGTCACTCGAATATGCGTGTCTGATCGGTGGTGCATAGCGTTAGCACACCACATCTCTTCCTGCGGCAAACACTTGAAGACAATGCAGGTGACTGGAGTGGCTTTCGTCCACGCGGTGCAGAGGTTCGAGTTTCACAAATGCACCAACAAGGAAGTGCACAGCGCAAGTCGTGCCGCAACGACATGTGCATTCAGTCAAAATGCTGAGAAATACCCAGGTGATAACCGGTGCTTACAGCATCAACTTGTTAAAACGCTTGCCTCTGAGTTTCCAGACTTCCTTGATAGCGGATTCGTCTGCGGTTTACTATAGCCTCACAGATCGGATAAAAGGAGTTAAATCATACAACAAAAGTGCTCCAGAACGATCGCCCCTGCATTTGACAGACATTGTTGAACTTCTAGAATAACTACCGAATAAGTAGCCGTAATTCTGATAGCAGAAGCCAGAAGAAACCATGTCACCAACTACATTGTTTTTCTTCTAGAATTAGAAAATGGACGAGAACTTTCACACACCCCATATTGTTCACACAGCTAGAGCGAGAACTTGTCTTTCCCTGCGGTGATTGCCCTGGAGGATAAATTTAACTTCACAAATAACACACATGTGAGGTACTGAAATGTACATTCACTCTTTACTTTGACCAGTAGTACATCATTCTTATTTGGGGGGTTTGCCAACTGGTAACGTAAGTTTACCACAACTGAGAGACCAGACCGAAGTGCGGTAAAGTAAATGACAAAAGTAGGAACAAATTTTATCACTACGAGCTTCACATTGACAGTTCACCATCGGAACGAATGATTGTATAAGAACGAACGGACACGCAAATATATTCCACAAATGGCTCACTAAATCAAGATTTTCTATTGCACCCTTCCATCAGATGTGCTTGCTCCTGTATCAGCCGCTCAACAGGAAAGTTCACTGAAGATGGTAAGCTGATAATAAGCTTGCCTGTAATTTTTTTGGGATGACCTTTCCGGTTGTCACTTTGCGCACTAAATGAATGTACGCCAGCGCTTTCGCAATACCGCACTCTGAATGGATTCCACGGATGAACAAATGAAGCTGTGAGGCGCTCAATACATCACCGAACCCATCAAGCCAACTTTTGAGAGCACCCAGCCTGTTTTGGAACAGGACAAGCCAAGTGGGAGGCTAGTGTGATTGCAGTTTATTTGATCCATAAAAATTACCAAACTATCCTGAGTGATGCTTTGTCAAACACTATCAACCCACCCAGTGGCTTGTAACCGACATGAAAAGCGGTCGCATCCTGACAGAGACATGAAAATCACAAGTACTAAGTAAAACAGACTGACCACGGTCATTAGACCTGGTTCGCGCGTCATTCAAGTGTTCCCTGGTTCTTTACAGAAAACTAACGCATGAGCAGACGAACAACCAACGCAGAGGTTTCACCGTCTAATCAATTAACTTCTGGCAAAATGACCATGGTTATTTTCGTGAAATTCATCCTTCACAAACCGTCTACCATGTCAAGTCAAATGCATTCTATTCGATACGTTTTGTGGTAGTAGGAAGAAACGGTTTCCAGCTTTCAGCAACGAAGAACCCAGAGGCTGAATCGGGCGCGTTGCACATAATTTGGAGACCCCGGTCTCATGCCAGTTACTGCTGTCTTGTCACAATGGGACACAATCTCCTGAAAGAGTTTCTAAACTACGTCAACATCTATGTGCAATAAAGTGCCAATGCCCAATGTTAGTTTTGATGACTTCGGAGAAAATAATAGCAATACCCGTAAAGCTCCTCTCCATAGGTTTGGATCTCGAAACAGGAAAGACTGTTATGACAGTGGTCCACATAACTGGCTATGGTAACACAAGCAGACTGTTGTGGACGTGAATTGAATTGATCCGGTGGACAGACTAGCAAGCTAGCGGTGCTAAAGGTCACACAAAGAACTGAAGCTAGAAAATACGACGAAGCAGTAAATCAATATGAAATACTGCGGAAACGTATTAGCGGCAAGAGACGGCTCAGTGATCGAGACGCGAGTTGCTGACAGGAAGATCTACGAATCAAGCTCAATCCTGGCATTCCGATGCTTTTTCTACACCTGGGTCACACGGCAACCACCTATGTGATGGGCACCAAAACCAAACGATGTGTTTTTGTAAAAAAAAGTATCCTAGCTTCCGACGCTAGTTTTTCAGCAACATGAGGACGCAGCTCTCATATGGTTAGGTTCCTTAATGGTTGAATAGCATCAAATGAATTTTTCGTGTTGTTTCAAATAACAGCCAAGAACGACCAATATGGGGGCTTATCATATTGGTGCGTCGTACTCACATTCAGCCATACAGAAGGCTACTGAGTACTGTCCAAAAAATCACATCCATGGAAAGGCATCGAAGACAGTCCCTACAGGGAAATTTCCAAACGAGAGGGCGTCCTGATATCCCTCAAATGAGCTTCCTCGTGGAGTAGAGAATACTTAGCCAACAGAGCAACCAAACGGACCCTCTGGGGTAGCGATCGACGCCACGACCTTGGAAAACCTGTCATGACCTCCATGTTCCTGATTACGGCCTTCATACCTCCAAAGAGGAGACTGAAATTTTTTAAAATAACAATCATCTCGTTGGACCGATTAGCAGCACCAGAAAAAGAAAAGGAGAATGATGACAAGAGTGTCACTTGCGCAAACAAAAGCCGAATGAACTGTACACATACAAGGAGAGTTCAAAATAGTGAACACCGGGAATCTCAAATGGTAGAGAATGAGAGATAAGCAAGTCTGCAGCTGAGATCCCTCCCTACACCACGAACCTTGTGAGATAACGGGGAACTCATGTGCGAAATAAGAGGTCAGTGCTGTGTACGATCGGTAAATCGTAGCACCTTATGTTGTAGTACCATCGTTATGATTGAATCCACATATTGCGACGGTAACCAGTACACAAAATAGCGTGACTTCGGAGTTGGCCCTAACTGGAACGCCATGATATGGTACTCTGGATGATCCTTGATTGGTTGGCTGACAACATCATGAATTGTGGATAGGGGGAATTTGTGCGTAACATCATTCGTAGCCAGCCACAGTTCGCAAGTATCCGGCCGAATTCGTAGACGTAAAGGTTGACCTCGTTTATCACACAGTCCCGTCAAACATTCATTTGGAGCTAGCATTTCTTCACTATTTAGAATACCAACCATAGCATTCTCTGGCTTTCCGAACCGTTCCAGGACACGCTTGTGCTCAGTTTGCTCGCACCAACTCAATTCCCCGTCGCCCGTTTGATTGTTCTGTTCTGCTACATCTCCTACTGCAGAACTAGCAGCCTCTTCAGCTTGCCGCAGCCGATCCGCCTCCAGTTGGCTGGCTCCAACTAGCATCAGTTTTGCGTCCCGCGAAGTTAGGTTTAAAGAGTGTATTTGGGTAAAATCTTCCAGAAGGCCACGGTAGATGAGTTTTTGCATAGATACTGGAACTTTTGTTAACGGCTCAAGAGCCTGCTTCAGTTCAAGCACCGTAGTATGGGGAGGAAGAGTGAAGTGGTGCTTGGCTCGGTTGTGTAGAACTGTGAATTCTACATGAGGAAGTGCATTATCTCCGTTAGTTGGTGCATCTGGTGGGATTGGCTTATTAGCATCAGTGTGGTTGTTATTGGCCGGTACTTCTAGATCGCCCATGGGGACGATAAGCAAAGCTGAAACAGAATAAAAAAGTGGGCTTAGTAGTGACTTCAGTCAATGATTCCAAGGTCGATTTCGGATATTGAGCCCTGGTACCAACGTTCCGAGCAAATACGTAGGGGTGCCTAACACAGTGGCGTAAAAAGAATGGAACTGCGAAGTCCGAAAAAAAGAATAAAAGATGGGAACTGTTAGAAAGTAAGTAATGAGCAATGAACTACTAAGGACGCTTATTGAAACACTCATTTCTCAAGCAGGTTTCGGAAACAAAAGTCTGCATACGATCGTCGTTTAGAATTGATCGGGCTCACACCGAGAAGCACAGAACAACATTTTTTTGTGACTGGAATCACCAATACAGTACGAAACACCTGCAAAAATGGATACTAGAGATCACGGTCGGACGAAGACATTAATTTTTATAGGAGTGGATAAGTTGAGAAACCCGTAATGTGGTCGTCTAAGTAGCGCTTATATTCTGTTGAGTAACGACCACGCGGCTGAACATAAGGGCCGGATCATCATCTCTGGTTCAGCAAACGTAGTATCCGACTGAGATACTGATTGGAGAGTTCATTGTGGTTCTACTGGGCCGATGAGAAACCTGTGGTTGAAAAAGACAGTAGGAAGATATCGCTCGTGTCCCTGAAAATAATGATTCAATCAGTGTAGAAATGTCCCACCCATTCTGTATATTTATATTTCTTGCAGAAGCAAACCGAGTTGGACCTGGATAAATGCTTCCGATCCGGAAAACAACATCAACTCCATACCTACTGATTTTACCCAGCTCTTATGAGCTAACAGCAGATTGGTCAGATGAAAGCAGCGCTCGAGGAATCCATGCTAAGCACTTGAACCACCACGTGACTCGGAAGTCTGACAGGTCACCCCCCACAACAGATTCTATGAGTTCCGACGAAATAGGGAGTAGTGTGACAGGGGACAGTTCACAAGATCAGGTCACCGTCTCCCCTTATAAATAGGGAGCAACTCGTTTCCACACAATCGGAATCACTTCTGAGTCAAACAACCTGAGGAAGCGAAATGCGAAATGTCGTCAGCGAAAACCCGCATAACTCTAAGGATTAATCCATTTATTCCGAGGATACCATACCGCAGATTTTTCCAGACCCCATCCTAAAGGGAAGCTAATATCCAAGTGTCACGGGGTAATGGTGAACCTCACAGAAATCTGGTGCAGTTTAGTGAAGGACCGGAGCGTATTAGAGAACTAGCTGTGCACCTAGAACCATTCAATAACGCAGTGACTGTAGCAATTTGTTACACTCAGATTTCATACTCACAATTTACCTAACATTTCAGTCCATGTACTTTCGTTCCTAGGCCAGTGGTGCGCAAATTACCCTCCCCAAATCCGGACTTTGTTCTGTCCTCAGTTTGGCACTAAACAATGATCACAACAAGCTACTCACCTAGTAAGTTGGATGAATCTGATTATCCGACTCAAAACCCGTCACTAAGAGACGGTTGCGTACTTCCGCGACCCACTGAGCTATACTAGGAGGAGAATTGTTCATGCGACACTTGCAGTCTTATACCAGGTTGGTTAATGGTTAGAAGTCTGACGAACAGTTTCCTGGGCCTCCAGGCTTGGAATTGGAACAAGTATAGCAACCCGTCCTGTAAAAATTGAAGTGCACTTGCGTTCCCAGCCAAACATCGCAGCCTTGTGACCAGGCTTTTGACCCAAAGGCTTTAGTTGGGAATTCTATTGATCCTTCTGTCTAGATCTAGGCGTCCTGGCAGTATCCAAACCCACGTACAAACATGAATTGCACACAAGCCAATAAACCCATGCCAAATCAACCGCCGCGTGGTGCCATCAGCCGAATCACCTTACCTGCTGCATACAGCATGGCGGGTGAACGGAAACAGGCTAATGTTGACGCCTCCCCACTTCCCCTTTCAAATACTTTTTCTTTCTCCTATCCCCACCCCATTATTAACTCTCTCCGTGTAGGCCCAAAACTTAGGACTGATGACTCCGCTCGTCCTGCATCAGTCTTCCAAGCAACATCCGCGCGTCATCCGGTGCCGACATCCTCATACAACTCGACGTCTACCGTTAAACGTCGACGCCCAGTTTATCTGGCTGCTTTAAATGGTCGCATTCTGAAGTAAGCAGCACAACAAACTGTTTTATTGCTCTCACAGTGGACTCGATTGGCATTGGTGTGTGCTGTGTCTCATAAACAAGATGCGAGCAGCGGTTAAGCTAACCGCCTCATCACTCTCCACTGGCTCTCGGCTGCGCACCTCCGGTGATCCAGAGGCTGCTGCAGCAGGATGTACAGGGGTTGGGATCGTCTTAAGTCACCGGGCGGAAGTTTCATTGCTTGACCGGATAGCGGTTAATAACCACCTGTGTGCGGTTCGTCCGGCAATATCTGTGAAGAAGTCTCAAGCGATAAGTTGATCGATGTCTGTTTGTCGTGTCTGCCTACGACCTAACCGAGCGTACCTCTGACTCCATCAGAAACAAGTTTTACGATGCCCTGAATACCCTGTTGCGGCGAGCCAAATGCTCAGAAATCAGTTTGGTTGACGGAGATATAAACACACAAGTGGACAGGCTTAGCGAACCTGAGGTTCAATTAGGTCGAAGTGAAGTGGACTCGGTACGTACGGACAATGGTGAACGATTGCTGACCGCCGGTTGTTTGTATAATAGCTTTTTAATAACTTTCGAAATAGCTAAAGTCGTCTGGCCACATGGTGTCCTCTAAGGGCGTGCAGGCTAAGAACTAAATTGATCACATTGTCGCGGATCATTAACTGTCACTCATTGGTACACATTTGTGGATTCCGACTACGTGTTCATCCGGAGTCGCTTCTCCCTTCATTTTTCAGGACCACGAAAAGTGGCCCCAAGTAAAGTGCGGACACATTACTTAGCAACTGAGAGTGGCAGATCTGGATGTCAAAATAATTTAGCAGAATCGTCCTCTGGAGTTTCGTCCAACTGCTCCACCATCCGATGTGAGCTCACACTGGGACAAGGTCCCCATTTTTGCACAGTACTGGGATTTTTGCGTGGCACGCCTCTATCAGACTTATTCAGGAGCCGGATGTCGGACGAAACAGTGGCACTTTAAATCTTGGAGAAATATCCCCGCCGGTCAGGAACATAACTTAGTCGGACGTATTACCAGACGTCAACTGAAAGTGAGTGCGCAAGCCGACTGTGAAGTCTGGTGGCAATGAAAGGGGTCCAGAAAGTCGGGAATACCCGAAGTTCACTTGACTTCGTCCGTGCGACCAGTACCAGGAAACCACCTGTGAGCGAAACCATTAAAACAGATCGACCATCCTGAGTGAACGACTGCTCGACCGGCAGGCCGAATACTTCAAACAGCTGCCCCTCATCTGGAGCCTACAGCTGACGTATAGCTCTGAACGGTAGACACGGAAACCCCTACGGTCTCGGAGGTTTATGACTGCATATGTTCTCTCAGGCGCTAATGAGCACCCTGTCTGGATGGCTTCACAAGGATGGAGATGACATCCTCAGTCACCGCTTGTTTGATCTGTTTGCCTGCATTTGGGGAGAAGGAGACAGTCCGAGAGAAACGGGGAGGGGAATCGGTGATAGAAACCATTTTCAAAAAAGGGGCTCGTAGTGGAGTGGGTAACCACAATAAAGTTAATTCAATGTATCAGCTGTGAACCGTGTACCATTGGCACACTGCTCACCTTTGGCACGCGTAATGCTGACTGAAAGCGAAGTGATAGCCGGGCATGATCAGAGTCAAGCTGCGTACACCAGAAAGAACGACAAGCTTTTATTGACGCTCTCCATCGGAAACTGGTAACCACATGGTCCAACTGGATCCACCAGCATCTTGCGGTTGGTGGTCTCCAAGTAACTCAATGTGAGCGTTTGTGTTGGAAGTTCGTACTGGCGAGGAACAGACGATGAGCTGCACATAATTGAAATTCACTCCTGATTATCGAAACGTTGATCATCCATTCCAAATGCGCTTCCTCCGTGCTTATTCGTACAAATTTAGCACCCATCAGGATTAATATATTCATCCTTCTTGCCAACAGAAGCAGTCGTGACAGATTTTGATAAAACTCGTCCTTTTTAGGCTTCGTGACAGATTTTGATAAAACTCGTCCTTTTTAGGCTCAGAACTGTAGTCTGTTGGAGCGGATGCTGATACGATGAATAAATACCATTTACCGCATCGACCTTCACTGGTCTCAACTGAGCCAGAAAATCGCACGGAGCAAGACCGTTAACCGTACTCATTTTGTGCAGGTTGATGGATTATCGAGAGAGGCAGATTCGTGAGAATCAGGCTGCGTTTCGTCCTGGTCGAGGATACATCAATCATATCCTTACCTTGAGACATATTCTTGAACATCGTCACTCCTTCAAACATCCCACGTCAGTCGTTTTTGGGACCTAAAAGCCGATTTCGGTTCTTCCGATCGTCAGCAACTTTGGCAGTGTCTGGTGGTCAAAGGTGTCTCTTCCAAATTTCTATCCCTTATGAGGGCACAGTATACTAACTCCTGTGGGCGCGCATGAGTATACGGAAAGCTCTCGCTTGAGTTCACCACGTCCAGTAGTATAAGACAAGGCTGTCCGCCTTCCCCTTTCTTCTTCAAATTTGTCATTGATATGCTGCTTGAAAATTCTCTGTCTGAAATATGAGGTCTCGGAAGTGGAAATGCTTCCGGGACGTTCGCTCATAGACATTGAATATGCGGTTCAGATCCTTCCCAGATAGACGATTTTTAATAACCTAAATAACCCTGCCGCACGGTTCGGCATGCGCTTCACAATTGCAAAGTGCTGCTACAAGACTGGGTGGGATCAAACTCAAACCTCGTACTTGCAGGCGAGCCAACCAATGTGGTTTGTTTACTGCTTCATGGATCATAAGCGAGCCCCTAAGCACAGAAGATATACGGAAGATGTCAAGCAGTGACGCTCATGTTACGGCAGTGAAGCATCAGTGTTGAACACTGATGTCATG